GATTTATTAATTATATGTTTAATGCAATTCATGTTGGAGATTAAATTCAGACCATTAATATTGAAATTATGGAATACGTGTAACTTTTCATTTTAAATGCAATGAAAAACAGATTGTGTTGGCTTTTGATTAATTTTTCATTGGAATAAAATACAAAAGTGCATATGGAATGTGACATTATAATATCATTTGTATAAACGTGAATTCCAAATAGTGAATTCATTTGATGAATCCATACAAGAGTTTGGATTTCGAATAGACTTTTGGTTAGTATATGCAAATCGGGTGTATGCATATACGGTAGGCTATAAATACGGTAAGATACAAAAACGGTGGGTCGTATATACGGTATGCGACATATATGGTAAGTAGCATATACGGTATGTGTCAATCTGGTATGTGAGATACTGTAAATCCAGTATATGTCCATGAATTTTGGTTTGAAAATTATACAAACCTTGATTAATGATAATAGCCCCAATTAATTTTATGAAATTAAATGAAATGACTTATGCAAAATTATAGTCGCGTAAGAGTGACAAAATGTGATTTTGTCCTAATTATTTTAAAGTGAAAATTGCTTGCTCAATTATTGGGATACGAAAATATTTTATAGAGCACATACAAATGGTGTCTATAGTTGGCGGTGATGTCGGATATCCTTAAAAATAATGATTGTAAAATGACATTCATTTGTAAAGGATAAAAACTATATTATGCAAAAATTATAAAGAATATTATGAAATATTCTAGAATTAATTCCAAGAGGTATATCCTTTTGTAAGGTTGTGACTTTGAAAGCACAACTTTTCAATCTATGGTTGATTTATTCTTTCAAATGTGAATATGAAGAATAAGGTGAGTATATGCCTTATTTTTTGACGTGAATAATATTATTTGTGAAATGTCACAAATGTGAAAGTTGCACATGTCTGAAGATGCTTAGTCTTCTTCATTGTTGAATTTGACTTCAATCCTGGAATCAATTAAATTGGTATATGTTTTGAAAGTATTGTTGGTCTATGTGATGATCTTGATTAATTTGGAAGATCAAATTAATATGGTTGATTGAAGTACAAATTTTGAGTGGAAAATGATTTTTCATTCACGTGAAGCAACGATCGCTATTTTAAAAATATTTAGACTTTCACCAAGTATTCGATACGTATATTATCTAAGTGATAAATCGATTGAACTATGAAAGAGTTGATAAACTCTAAATTCAAGAATGATCCAAAAATGTGGGGGTTATCATAAATGCTTTAGAACTTATGTGAAAAGTTCAAGTCGTGTGGGGGTACAACGCTACTACTTGGATATATAACCCTAATTTAGGAATTGTGGAGGTAACTTAGTTTAAAGTTACACTTTCCTATAACTCTCAAGAAAATGGAAGAGACACCATATGAGTTATGGTAATGTCATCCTCTTTCCTACCAACATTTAAAAGTCTGGAGGTGTTTGAAAAATGTTAAGGTTCCTAAGCCTAAACAAATAAAGATTAGTCCCAAAACGATTGGTTGCATATTTATTGGATAAGCCAATAATAGTAGTACATATCGTTTCCTCGTACACAAATCAGATATACGTGAGGGTACCATAATTGAGTCAAGGAATGTTATATTCTTTGAGAATGTGTTTCCATGCAAAGATAAGAAAAATGTAAGTTGAATAACAGAACATATGAAACTACAAATGGATCTTCAAATGAGGAGGAACCAAGGTGTAATAAGAGGGCTAGGACATCCATTTCGTTTCGTTCGAATTTTCTAATATAAGACTTCTGAAGAAGCAATATTGTCTATTCCAAAAGCACCACATTGGAAGGAAGCTACCAATAGTGAGATAGATTCGATAATGCAAATTCATATATGGGAATTAATAGATATATCTTTCGAAAATAAGCCTTTAGAGTGTAAATGGATTAAATCATGATGGATCCATTGACAAATATAAAGCTAAATTGATTGCCAAGGATATAAGCAGAAAGAAGGATTTGACTTCTTTACCTACTCACCCATGACTAGAATCACTTCGATAAAGTTACTAATTGCAATTATGGCAATACATAACCTTGAGATTCATCAAATGGATGTGAAGCTAGGATTCCTAAACTGTGAGTTAGAAGAAGAGATATACATAGAGCAACCTGAAGGTGTCTCCTAGTGAAAGACATAAAGTTTGTAATTTTGTTGAGTCCTTATATGGATTGAAGTAAGCTCTTAAGTAATGTTACCAAAAGTTTGACAAAACGATGTTGTCAAATGAGTTCAAAAAATGAATATGACAAGTGTGTATACGTGAAAAATACACTAGATGCGCCAATGTGATTGTGTGTCTATATATAGACAATATATTGGTGATGGACAATAGTCACAAAATGATGCTAAACATCAAGAAAATGCTTACGAAGCATTACAACATGAAAGACATGGGTGTGACATATGTAATACTAGAGATAAAAATCTCTAGAACATCGAAAAGAACTGTACTTTTCCAATCTCATTATGTTGAGAAAATATTTAAAAAGTTTGAAGTATTAAAGGAAAGTTCGCTAAAAACCCTATTGACACAAGTCTATATTTGGTCAAAATAAGAGTGAAAATGTGTCACAACTGAGATATTCATAAGTAATTGCATTATAATGTATATTAAGAACTGTATTCGATCGGATAATGCTTTTGCTGTGAATAAACTTAGAAGATCATGAGTAATCCAGACCATGATTATTGGATGGCATTGACAAGGGTCCCTAGGTATTTGAAATATACCATGACCTATGGATTACATTTCACATGATATCCCGTGGTTGGTATTGGAAGGATATTGTGATGTGATGGTATACATTAAGTCTATGGATGAAAAGGTATGAAAGCCCTAAAGTGAATGAAATGGGATGAAAGCCGATCATGATAGTTATTTGGATATACAAGAACAAATGAAATATTTGAGAATATTCATAAAGTTCGAATGTATTGCAATGCTTTAATGATGATATTGAGTACTCATTATGAAATCCATTAGTAAATATGACTGACTAGTGTAACGGTTTGATAGAAATCATCTAATCGTGTTGACGAAGCTTTCGATAAAGCTAATGAGAAGCATATAGCTTCATAAGAGTATTTCTTAGTTGGTGACAATGTGTATCTATCAAATGAATAGATCGTTGACTAGCTAAATTTGAAAAGATACCAAGTCACATGTAATGGTAAATCTATACGTGTAAGTCGTAGACATAATGCCATAAGCAGTTGATTTTATTGGTGTGAACTTGTGGATCCATTTATATATGTTTACCAAGAGATCAAGTATGCTGCATATCGAAGGGAATGAGATTAAGCCTACTGAGTAAGAGTCCTTATGATGGTAACCCTACCATGTTGACTAGAGATTCGAAGATCTTAGTTTAAAGGGACAACTAAGTTATAAGGATTCCATGAAGCACTTAGGAAACTAATTTCCTATGATATTAAAGTGCTTTCTGTAGAGTGGTTGGAGGTTAAGATAAACTTTTAATATTCCTATATTTTGATTAAGTCAAATGGAGTAGGGCGGAATACTCTTAAAAGGAGATCAGTCACCTATGTAAGTGTGAAGTATGGCCGTTTCAATGAGAATTATTCAAGACTTGAATTCTCTAAACACTTACAGAATCAAGATGGGTTCAGGGCCAAAATGAACCAAGTCATGAGAACAATGAATGGTTTATGGGAGATATTGTGTGAGTACTGTTGTTCTGGTTTACACCAACGACTGATAGTTCAAGAACATCGTGTTCATCAATTAGCTAGTAAATTCGATGGTATTTCACTAAGGAAGGTTCAAAGCTAGAAGTTACCTTACCTGATGCAGTGTTTTTTCGCTCTCTCTACTAGTATCTGCATAGACATTTGCATTAATTTTCATTCATGTGGGGGATTGTTGAAATTTTGCATCGAAAATTGGTTGTGACCAATTTTACATGATTATTTAAATGGAATTCTCAATTTGGTGAATGAGAAATTAAGCCAAATGTAAGTCGCTTAATACTTGAAATTGTTGGAAAAACGTATAGAATATTGTGGAATATTCTAGAAATATATGGATGTGTCTTTTCATATGAAAGGTCATGACCTTTGGCATGATCAATTTCCAATAATTATGAATTCCAAGAGGTGTCTCTTGATGTGGGTGAGTCCTTTGACATACTTTTCAACTACTATATATTGACCCCATATGTTTGGATTTAATTATTCAGAAATTCAAGTCAATAGATAATTATATATCATTCCATTACATGTTTACAGTTTAATTTGCATTAAACACTTGCATTAAAGTCCCGGTTATGGTAGAGAGGGAATTTTCTTCGAGTTCGTTGGTCTAAGCTATTTGGAACGCTCCTATGACTAGACGTGGTAGTTGTATCTTGAAAGAGGATTATCGGAGAATCGTTAGCACCAATGCGAGACAATTTCATCTTAAGGACAAAGTGTCCAACACTTGCCTCAATCAAAAATCCATCATTTGCATTTTCTCGCTTTATTTTCTGATTCCTTTGATTACACTTTGATTTCAGAAATTCATTAACTTTGTTTACATGTTTATTTTGCAAGGTTCGATCTCTACTTTCATTTAAAAGTAGAAAATGGATGAATCCATATTCATACGTTCAGACTCTGTAAATTATTGATTTGTCTTCTCAAATCCATTTCGATAAGTCAAAATTATGTTTCGATTTCACCCAAATAAACGACATGATTTTGTGAATATAATATGCGCAATATCGGTTTAATTTCTCACAACAATAATTACATAAGTCCACAACTATAGGCTGCCACTGCTTTTTCAAAAAGAATGAGATTGTCATCAACTTTTGTATTTCTATTCTCTTAAGAACCATGTGTGGAATTCATGAAAATATCCTCTCCAACCCCCGGGGGGGAGGGGGGGGGGGCAAATGCACCCCCACTCCAAACCTCATTTAAAGAGCTCATTTGTGCCTCCTCTTCGTTGTGTCGGATATGTGAATGGAAATCTTCCCTGAACTTGAATAGTTCACAAGAATTCCGTCACTAAATCAACTCGAAAACCCTAATTTTCAAATATGAATTGTTCTATCAAGGTAGACAAGATTCAAGCCATGAAAATTTACAAGAAATCCCAGTTTCTTTACAACTTTGTTCTATACTCCCTCACTACTGTAATTTCTTGTTCGTTTATATGTTACCCTTTCTGGTTCCCCTCCATGAACTACCTTTTTTCAGTTTCTTTTCAAAATATTTTCTCCTTTTTCTTCACTGCCAAGTTTCTTTTCGTGATTGGAAATATAATCGTCATCGTCCTCGTCAGAGAATTTATACAGGCAGGCTCAATTTCATCTCCATCGACAGATATTTATGATGAATACATTTCTCAAATCTGCCGGAGTTACAGGGCACCTGCACGGTCCAATTATATACATGCAAACAAGAAAAAGGAGGAGAAAATGGAAACTGAAGATAAACTGTTCCATGCTGAAAGTAAAAAAGTGAAAATATGCAGTGGGGCTGTCATGAAAAGGGAAAAACGAAAGAAAGAAGAGAAGAAAATTATACCAACTGGGGAATTGAATCGAAGAATGGAATCTAAACAGGCAGGCTCAAATTCATCTCCAGAGACACTGCACGGTCCAATTATATACATGCAAACAAGAAAAAGGAGGAGAAAATGGAAACTGAAGATAAACTGTTCCATGCTGAAAGTAAAAAAGTGAAAATATGCAGTGGGGCTGTCATGAAAAGGGAAAAACGAAAGAAAGAAGAGAAGAAAATTATACCAACTGGGGAATTGAATCGAAGAATGGAATCTAAACAGGCAGGCTCAAATTCATCTCCAGAGACAGAGATATACGACGAATACCTTGCACCAGCAAACAAGAAAGTACAGAAGGATAAAATGGAAAATACTGAAGATAAAATTTTACATGCAGAAAAGAAGAAAGAATTGAAAATGTCCAGTGGGATCTTGAAAAGGGAAAAGAGAGATGAAGAAGAGGAGAATTATATTCCTACTGAGGAATTGAATCGAAGAGTGGAGGCTTATATTGCAAGAGTGAACAGAAAGAGATTGCTTGAGGCTAAATCATTAGTGCGGGGTCAATAGAGCGTGAGAAATGGGGATTTAGTGTAGGAATTGTAATGGAAAAATTAATTAGGGTTTCTTGATATAAATTGTACTTGAATCAACTTTTAAGTTAATTTTACGAGATTGATGCGCTAAAGAAACAATATGTGTATGTGTGTTTGAAAATGATAAAATAATTTAAAAATCAAACAATCAAGTAGAATCCTATTTTGTAAAATTGAAAAAAAACATTAAATCAATAAAAATAAAATAGGGTGGGTTGAAAAATTTATTAGGTACCATTGATTCCGATATCTAATAAGTTTTACCTACTATTGGGACTGACCTAATAACTTCCGTCGTATGAAAACAATACTCCTAACCAAGGCAATTACAAAATGAAGATCTCATGACTCGTAGCAATCGAGAAATCAAAATTTAAAATCAAATCCTTAATGATAATAACTAGAATTAAGATCTCACAACTAGTGACAATCAAAGAAAATTTCTCAACACACTTACGAGTTACGATTTTTTTTTTTTCCAATTCTACAATGAATTTTTTCGAATTCAATCTTTTTTGTGTATAAATGTTGAATGCTCGTGATGTACGCTTGTTTGAGAATGAAAAGGTGAATTAAATTTTATATAGCTTTCTCAAATTTTATTATCTCACGAGAGGCTTTAATTTATAATTAAAAATGTAATTTGATGCAACAATAGTAAAAAATAAAAAATATGGTTATTGAAATTTTTAGGATTCGCTTGCTTAAATCGTTCCGTAAATCTCGCATTCATACAGTAAATTATTTAAGAATGATACTGTAAATTAGTAATTTTATTAGTAAATAATATTTTGGAGAGAGGGGGGAGGGGAAACGAAGTTTGTGGACCTTTAACTAATTTAGCTAATGGGAGTTGGAATAGTTGACCCAGTCATATTCTTTCCTTGGCGGAGAAGAGATTCTACTTTTCCCCGCACTTTACAATAACCAAAGAGGTTCATATGTGTAAACTTGCCATTCCCATCTTGGCTTTCCAATAGAGAATCATACTATTTGTACAATGAGTTTGACAACATTTTTTATATTGTGTCACGTAACAACATCACATTGAACGGTTTGAAAATAAAAAAACATTTTCCCGCCAACGCTTATTTTGAAAACAATAGAATGTCAAGAATGATGTCAACATGTTAATGTACAAATAGCATTGTTGTCCAATAGAACTAAAGGAAAATTTGGTATCACCTTTTAATATAAACACGATACCAGGCTTCCATTATAAATGTCGTTCAAAGTCTCCCCCGTGTGAACGGTGAAATCATTAGAACATTATGTTAACGATTTTGTCTATCAATATTGCTCTTTTTAAATGGTTTATGTCGTTTGGGAGTAGTCGTATCGCTCTTTCCATAAGTTGGGGGACTAACTCGCAACTGATGAATTAGGAAACTATGATGCAATTCTTCTTATAATTAAGTCAATGTGTCGCCTACCAAGTTAGGTAAAAGGGAAATTGAATTAAATGAGGTTTGCTCAGAATTGAGATCAATTCCTCGATTTGTCTAATGATCTTGTTCAAATTATATTTTTCTGAAAGTTATAAAATATAAAATAGATGGAGTTTCGTGGAAAACTCCTAAACATGAGAAAAATCATGGACTATCAAAGAAAATGATATTCCACTACAATCATATAATATCTCACACGTATCTAAATTAGACCAAGTGAGACTACGAAAGATCCTACGAACCGGGATTAAAAAATAAGGTAGAAGATCCTAATCACAGGACGTCACTAACTAATCTTACTCCAAATAGGAAACGATAGACCAATCCTATATTACATAAAACAGCACAAATAATATTTCTTCTTGGAAACAAACAATAAAATCAAATTTCTATTTTAATTAGGACAATACCAAGTCAAAAAATCTTAACACAGTAAAAACGATTTGTCAAACTTTGGGAAAGAGTCAAGAATATTGATCCTGATTTAAAAAAAAATAATAATAATAATAAAAAATTTAGTTGTGACAAGGTAATTTAAGATGAAAGAAGCTTTCATGTATGATATTTTATACATATAAATTTTCAATCTTGAATTCTTCCACAGTTTGAGTACATAAACAAAGAAGGAATTGTCCAAATCGTGCCCTTCGATGGGATTTCCCATCCTCACTACAAAAGTTCGTTTTAATAGCGCACTTCTATTTTGTTCCAAGTTCATTATTGAACTTCTCGAAACTGGTCACATTGTTGAGTTGTTGGTGTTTTTGCTTATGTGCCGATCGGAAGAATCTCACCAGTCATTTTTATAGTATTAATCGCTGAAATCGCATGCAATGTAGAGAAATAACCTATCTTCTCTCAAAATCAAAATTCTAAAATGCATCTTCTCCATCTAAAACGTTTGCACAATGGTCAGATCAATTTTTCTAAATAATGCTATTTAGTCCCACTGTGACTATAAACCCAATGTATATAACGTTAATGTGACATTAAATGATAAGTAAAATTAACTTAATCATTTAATTCCACATTTCATTTAGCTTATTACTCATTGCCACATAGACTGAGATTATATATATCTTTGCTCAATAACCAAAAAATATTAAGGGCATAAACGAAATTCACGTACTTGGTAATTCGCATTGGTAATAAATAGTTTCTTACAAAATAACGAAAATAAATTTATTAAATTAGTCATATTCTTCCACTTGCTTCATTAGTACTTGTAGTTGGTTCTTGCGTAAGCGCAACTACCAAACATATATTTAAGACAAAATTTAATTATTTATTGAAAATAAGGATCCGAAGGCTAAGTTGCTGCTCGAAATGAATTAAGAACAAATGGTGTAATTTTTCCTATATATAAAACAACCTGTTACCGAAAAACTTAGGTTAAAAGAAGGAAAATTAAATTAAATTAAATGAGGTAAAAAATGATTTGTGATATTCTTTTTTATTTTATTAAGTGCATTTTTTGGGAGTTTCCATGGTGGAAGGATGAATACTAAACCTTTTTCAAATTGGAAATATAAAAGATGTGAGGAAGAAAAATATATTTGATTTAAAACGTATTCAAGAGACGCTTTAAAAAGTGAAATGCTTTATATTTTAAAAAATTTAACATTAAAATTTTATTTCAAAAGACTCTTCAAATTTACATTTTAAAATAGAAAATGATTTGACTCTTTAAATTTGGAGAGTCAAATCCACTCTCAATAAGTAAATGCATTCAAAATATTTCAATTTTCAATTCTTCATATCTATACAAAAAGAAAATTGAGGAAAACAATATAATAACTTGGAGGAAAGTTAGTGAAATAAAAGATAAAGAAAAATAATAAATATTTTTTAAAAATAGTAAAATTAAGTGTTAAAGATAAAGAACACATTAAAAAATTTTATTCTCTAAATTGTATAATATGTTTTTCAAAAGTAGAGAATCTATTGAAAATGCTCTTATTGTCCATTGTAAAAGAAAATATCAATGTTCTAAAAATCGAGTCAGCAATAGACTCGAAAAGCAGAAAGAATCAAGAGTCAAAAGATTGAACCGTGGTAGAATAGTTGATTTTTAAAAAATTTAAAAAATATACATTTACGAAAATTTAAAAAATTTACATTTACATTTACATACATTGAATCACTTAAATCGGGGGACGGGTTACCGATGTTTCAAAAACCGGCTGGTTTAACCGGTTCTGGTGTGAATTTTTAATCAGAGGTTTTATATCCTAATTTGACTGATTTTTGGTTTCCATTCCCAAATTTTTTGATTGGACCGATAGGACAGGTTCGATTTTTAAAACACCGAATATTGCCTTCAAATAATTCTATTTGTTTCTTGCATAAGCCCAAGTGCCGAACTGCTGCTACCAGAAAAGCCAGCCTTTCGGAGATCTCAAGAGTCTCACCCCGTCGACATTTCCGAAGTCCTCTTAACCCCCTCGTGACCACCAAATTTTCTTTCATTTTTTTCACATATAGAAACATATTCAATTCATTAAAATCACATTCTAAGAGGAAGAGATTTGGGATTATGGCATCACTTTCTTCATCAACACATTGTTGTTCATCATCATCAGCTTATTCAAATTCTTCGTCTCTTTGGTCTGATCAGCATCATTATTATATCAGCAACTTAGAATTTTCTGCAATTTCTCCTAAAAATCCGGGCTCAAAAAAGATTTCTTTACAATCTAAAGGCCGCCTATCTTTAAATGCTATTCTAATGCAAGATGGTTAGTTCTTTCCCCCCTTATTTATGTGTTAATAAAACTGTTTCTTTGACTTTTAATTCTTTTTTTTCTTTCTTTCTTTTGATTTTGTGCCCATTTTCTTGGTCACTAATTGGTTATGTTCTTATCTGCTTGAATTTGTGAACCTTTTTTTTTTTTCGGTTCTGTTCTTAATTGTGTTTCGAATCGTATCTGTTGATTTCTTTTGTGGGTTTGATAATTTGATTTACAGATATCGATGAAAGAGAGATATTTATTTTCTGTGTAAACTCAATTGTTAGGAGAATTGAATACCAGAAAGAGATTTAATTTTTTCCATCCCAACATTTGGCTAAAATCAGCAAAAGAAAAAGAAAAAAAAATCAATTTTACCCCCAAAATATAGAGTTCTCGGACTTGATGTGGCTTCTTGTTGTATTTGTTCTTGAAATTATTTTTTATGTTAACATCATATTTATGTAAGTTGTTATTTATGTATGCAAGCTGTGTTAGCTAATCCAAGAATATTTTAGGTGCCATAGCCACAACAGCAACCACAGTCGAAAATGAAGCTCCTACAAAAAAATCGAAAGATGGGTTGTTGTCAGCTTCTCCTCCGGAGGAACATAAAGAGCCAATTGGATTTGATGTTAACAATGATCAATCCACCGTCAGTATTACAGTTGTTGGAGCCTCTGGTGACCTTGCCAGGAAGAAGATATTTCCTGCACTTTTTGCACTTTATTACGAGGATTGCCTCCCTGAGGTCTGTGTCACATTTTTTATGTTTTTCTTTAATTTTGATGTAAAAACTGCAAAGTGACGGATTTGATTATGAAAAATGGCCTATGCGACTTTGCTCAATGAGTGTATTGTGATGTTCTGATATGGATCT